GTTGGACACAGAACTTGCAGCAGTTAATAGTCAATGAACAGTATTGTGTTTTTGTTATTTGTGTCCTCCTACCAGTAAAAATAACTGAAGTGACCTTGAATTAGTATTTTGCACTTTAAAAACATATGTTTTTGTTTATTTATTGACTTAAAATATTTTCAGGGTCTTTTAATTTATTATTCTTTAATTCATTTGTTATACATTATTATCAAAGTTCACATTTATGCAGCCAATGGTTAATAAATAATTGGTCTGGTTTTTTTTTTCACTTAATGTCTGGCTTTTCTTTGTTCAAAGGCAGATTAGGCAGTTTTGCTTGTTTTTAGCACTCCCTGGTGTCCGTTTTTAATTCTCTCAACAGTGAAGTGAAGCTTTTCTCCTCGCTGTCCATTTGTCTTTTTAACACCTTAATCTAACAGCTGAATTGTCTCCCAGCCTTTCTTTGTGACTACAGGAGTGATTGATCATTAAATTAAATAATTAAACAAATTAGCTGTATTCATGATCTAAAACATGCAAGAAAACTGCTGGAATCAGACAGCAGTGACCGGTATGTCAGCTCAATTTTTTCCAAGTCCCAACAGAGCGGTCCGCCAGGCTGCAAGTTGCAAATACGGTATTGTGGTGTAACGAATGTAGAATTACATTTAATTAATGAGCCATAAGAAATGGGATTCCATAGGAAATATGGGTTATTTAAACCAGAAGATTGGATCTTTTTAGGGATGCACCGATACCACTTTTTTTGAAAACGAGTACGAGTACTTGCATTTCAGTACTCACCGATACCGAGTACTTAATAAAATCATGATTTAAATTTACAGGTAACAGCTTTAGTCGTATAATTTAACAAAAAAAAAAACAAGGCACTAGTTTGGAATTAAGAACATTTTTTAAAATGAAAACTGCAGCATCTTTTATGCAACATATTAAGGAACAAATAATTATTAAAAAAAAGGTAAACATTGCAACTCGAGTATTTTTTTTTAGTTTGTTGTAAACTCTGCCACTTTGGACAACACAAGAGGCATTAATAAACATTGTTGCTATTTAGTGCACAATATCCGAATAAACTAACAACATCCACCAGCATGGGACTCTGGCAGTCAGTGCAACTGAGGAAGGTATTAAAATAAACTCTAAGACGGCTCACTTAATGGAGCTTATTTAGAAAAAGTGAGAGGCAGTTTTTTTTTAAGAAAAGTAGCTTTTCTGCATTATCAGCAGTCAGCCTGTTTCTGTTTTGATCTATAATGTGTGACACAGAGCTAAAGAGCCTTTCACTTTCCACACTGCTACATGGAGCTGAGAGGTATTTACGGGCCATTTTAGCCAAAGTGGGGAACCTGATTTTGTTGACGCCCCAGTACTTCAGAGGACTGTCTTCACGAGGGCTTGGGGCCTCTCCGAGGTATGTGTCGAGCTCAATGGCAGCACCTGCTGCCAGCGGCTGTGCTGCTTGGGCCTGCTCCATGGCGATTTCTTCAAAGACAGTGTCCAGACTGCTGCTAGTGCTGGCCTGGGCCTGGAGGAACAGTTTAGCAGGAGGTTCTGCAGCTTCCGCCCGACTACCCTCTGACTCAGCTCTGGACATCATCTGCAGCTCCTGCTTCAGGTGCAGCTTGGCCTCTGAGGCAGTGTTGGTGGAGAAGAAGCGATTTTTATACCTGAACAAATTTAAAGAATTTATTAATATGTGGAAAAATAGGAGAGATTTTAGTTTCCCCTAAACCCCCATCACAATTGCCAGCTATGTGGCTTTCTGGGAGTAATATGGGAAAATATGGACTTTACCTTGGGTCAAGTATGGTGGAGATGAAGTACAGTGGGTTGGTCTCCACGTCACTGAAGCGCTTCTTGACAGCTGTCAGTAAGGTTGCTTTCATTGTCTTGACACCGTGGTCCTCGTCGGTTTCTCTGTTTAGAAGTCTCACAAGCACAGTCACAGCTGGGATGACATCAGAGGCTAGTGCGTCGTAGCTGCTCACTTTTTTAGTTAGTTCCTCAAAGGGGCGAGTATGGCAACAATCTTCTCAATAAGAGCCCATTGGTGAGCGGTGAGACAGTCAGGGAGTTCATGCTCGGACACATACACCCCAGCACTCGCTTTTGCTCAATGAGGGACTGAAGCATGTAATACGTGCTGTTCCAGCGCGTCTGTACGTCCTGCTGCAGTCTCTTTATTGGCTGGTTCAGCTGTCCCTGAATGTCCTCGAGGCGGGAGTAGGCTAAGGCGGAATGCTTAAAATGCCCAACTATTTTTTGCCCCACTGCTATAGCATCAGCTATGCTCCTCTGTGCTAATAAGCCCTCGTGAACAGCCAGCTGGAGCGTGTGCGCGACACACGGCAGACTTGGGAGCCCTGCGTCATTCATGGCTTTAATCATGTTTTTGGCATTGTCACGAAGCACAACGTGTACTGATGTTGTAGGTATACCCCATGTCTGGAGCATTTCCTCAAACACATGCGCTATAGCCTGGCTGGTGTGCGAGCCGCGGAGTTGTTTCGCATGTAATATGGCTCGTTGCGGCGTGAAACTCTCGTCTATCCACTGGGAAGTTAGGCTAATTAGCGACACGGGGCTAACACTGCTGGTCCAAATATCCGTAGTGAAACTAAACTCAGAGGAGGCTTGCAGTCGGCTGTGGATATGTTTTTTCACAGAGTCGTGTAGTTTGGGCAGCTCTGTGTATTCTCTATAAACTATAAACAATGGTTAATAAAAGCTAGTTCACTTCCTGAACAAGCCAGTTCTAGTGAGCTACCCGCTTCGGCCGACTGGGTAAGCAAAGCATAAGGAACCATCCTCTTGTTTTGACCTCAAGGTCAAAGCCTTCTTTGCAAGCGGCATCAGATGAGAACAGCTAGGTCAGCTTCCTGCAGTCACCTGGAAGGGTTCTCAGACCACACCGGTATTTGGGGTAGAGCTACGTGCTCCAATACCAGAAGGTCAACTCCACCGGCAGTCTGTCCGTACCGACGTCGCAGACCCCCTGGATCACACCGGGAACCTCCACCACAAGGGTTCGTAGTCTCTGCCTAACTGGCGTGGATGGGTTTTTTGTATTATTGATAGTTTGTTAAACCGTACAGTCGGACTGATTTTACAACCCAGACATCACAAGTTTCTAAGACACTTAATAAGGTTTTGCTACGGAACATCTAAACTTACATCCCATCATCTCATTCATTGTCGGAGTTATCTTGTTTCAACCATCATTCATCATACTTTGTTCCGTGTCATGAGTAGTAGAAATATAGTATTAAATAGATTTTTATAAACTATATTTTTGCTGGAAAAAAACGGCTGGCACAAAGATTCAGTCAATCATCCACCAGTACCTGTGTCCATGCTGTCCAGGTCCAGGTGGTGAAGAACACACGATGAATCAGTCCCAGCTGATGGATGATCCTGAAGTGGTAGCAGGTTTTCTTTAGCCGTGTTTAGCTAACAGCTGCAATAGAAACAAAGCAGGAGAGCTGATTAAGATGCTGCTTCAGAACAACGCAGGAGATTAAAGATCCAACGCTTTGGTTCTGATCAGCTGAGGACAGATCCAGTCTGGAAAAGAGGACCTTTGCTCACCAGAGTTCACAGAGTTCTCTTCTGTTCTTCCAGCTACAGACTAAATAGAAGATGGATGCTCTACAAAAATACTAACAACGGTTTCTCCTGTTTAGTTCTGTCAGGTGGCTCACTAAAAGTCAAATCCAGCATGGCAGCATCTCATGGAGCCAACAAGGAAAGCAAGGTGTGATATCAGCAGAGGGCTGGAAGCTGAAAAGGTAAAGAACAACACAACCGGAGGGTTCCTCGTCTCCAGCTGAGCCAAGAGCACTAAAGGGTTTCGTTTAGAGTTTACATGAAGAAGTAGTGAGTTTATTTATTTATTTATTCTTTATTTAACCAGGAAGGTCCCATTGAGATCACAAACCTTACTTTCAAGGGAGTCCTGGCCACGAGGCAGCTCCACGGACGTGTAATGTACATGAAAACACAGGAATCCCAGCTAAATGAACTTTAGGTGTGTTTTAGCAGAATGCTATTGTGTTTTCAGTATTATTATTGATTACTAAGTCATTATATTATACATTTACTCAGTAGAATGTGTCTTTCTAAAGTTGTATTTATTTTTATTTACATGTAAATATGCATCCCTGAAAAACATCTGCTTAACGAATGCTCTGAAACATCAGCTGGCATTTCTTTTTAGCCTGTTTTGTCTATTTATTACTTGCTACTTGGTTCATTTTCATGCTGAATGCTGTTGAGTAAACTTCTGTCTGTAGCAAGGAGCTGCTGTTAAGTGTATGTGTGTGTGCGTGCATGCGTGTGTGCGCCTGTTCTATGGATCTCTTTATTAAAACTATTTAACGGTAATAACGTTTTGTTGATTTTAAACAGGGAAACCCCCACTCGCGATTTAGCGATAGCATGATGCTAACTCCATTAGGCCGCTAGCGTGCTTTCCCTCACAATGAAACGGTGTCCACTCACCAAGTGAACTGCTCCACTCACTAAAGACGGTAAATGTTCCAGATCCAACTACGTTACTGACTGTACTACCGACTACTGACTACCAAAACTCACCAAGTCCACCGAGTTATCTCAGAACAGCACAGCTTCTAGGTCGTGTCTCGGCAACTACAGTTGGCTATAGCTTAGTTGAAGCGGGGGGGGGGGGGGGGGGGGGACACAACAATACCATATATGGAAACGGTGCCATTGCTTTCCGGAACTGAAGGGGGCGCTAATGTCGAACTACCGTTTTGGAGAAATCTTTATTCAAACTGTTCATGAAACAATATATAATTCTAGGTAAACTATCGTAATTTCTATATTTCTGATTCATTAATAGTTACAGTTTATTACAATATTTTTTGAGCGTCGTTGTACTAAACATGACACAGTCAACAATCATTTAAAACTATAAATGTCAATAATCCTCATCAACGAATGACTGATTTTTCACACTTTTCACATCACTTTAATTTTTTAAATTAGTGTGGTATTTTTTAAACGCCAATGTCATTCGAAATCTCATGAGGATGATTTTTACAAATGGCCTAGTTTTATACTATTTGTAGGAAACTGTAACCATTTGAGTTTGATGAGACTATTCATAGTATTTAAAACTGATATTTAAACCTAATTCCTCCAAAGATGTAACATCAGCTCTCCTAAGTGTCACCTGTGTCTCCAAATGAAATGAGTTGTCCTGATTTAATTTTTTTGTTATGTTATCATGTAACCTAATGAAAAAATTGGGTAAATGTGTGGAGAAAACTTTCCATTTTAGCAAAAAGAATAACTTCCAAAAGGATGGCTCTGTTGAACAGCTGCTGAGAACAACTTTTATGGATTTTTGTTTCATATCAATATAATTTCTAAAAACATGTGAAACTCCAAAAATTAGAATGTTGCACATTCATTTATTTTAGTAAAAGCAAAACCAATTGCAAAGTACTTATGTCTGACAATTTTCTATTTAAAAGCAGTGTTGGATGTTTTTAATGTAATATTCTAATTGTCTGAATTTTTGAATGCAGGGTTTTCATCATCTGTAAGCCATAATTATTACAATTATAACAAATAAAGGCTGAAATATCTGGCTTTGTATGGAATGAGTCTTATTACTGAAATAAATCAACTTTTTCACTATATTCTCATGTTTTGAGTTTTACCTGTAATTAGATTTTTTATTAAGTTCATTTGACTCATGTTTATATAAACTGCAACCAATTTTTCAAGAAACTTTATTCTCAAAGAGAGGAACAACAGGATATTGTTTCAAAAAAATCAAAACAGCAGCAGTTCTTTTCAACATTACAAAAAACACATTTGAGTGCACTTGAGTTTGCAGAAATATGAGAACACAATTAGAATATTTTAGTTATTTTTGGACAAATGTGTCAACGTTTAATTTAAATTTAGTAGATATGAACTTTACTTTTTACACAACTAATAAGTAAAAGCATGAACTAACCTGCAGTGCATTCCTCAACACAAGGCAAAAATGTATTGACAGTAGCAAATGATCATCACAGTTGTGGACGCCATCTTGCCAGTCTTGATCGCTACACCATGTCACAGTTGGGGCAAACTTTCCTGTATGTCGATGTACCTAAAAGGATAAAAAAACATGTTACAATTACATCCTAGAGCTGGAATGATGGAAACTACAGTTAACTATATTTCTAATCAAAGCATTGAAAATTGCAAACCTTTAACTACACCATTATGAGTCACTATTTTAGCAGTTGCAGTTATCAGCTGAGGACCAACAAGAGTGTTCTGTCCACATTGTGTGCATGTAGTCTCAGATGGAATGAGATGTGTGAGGAATCCATGAGAGTCTTGGCGTCTCTGCTGCTGGTGATCAGTGTTTTGGAAGATCGGAAGGTATTTTCTTGTGAGCAATCAAATACTTGATCATCCTTTCAGCTGCTGGATCTGGATAAAACGCTTATATTGGGCGAAATCTGCCTAGCCCTCCATCTCTTCGCATTGTTTTATTTTGAAACGTATTTTATTTTGAAAAGAGGAAGTGGGATTCTCCCATTTCAACTCTTATCTTCCTGTTGAACCACGAGTTGTTTTGAACGTTCAACTTTGGAAGCCATCGAGACACGACCTAGAAGCTGTGCTGTTCTGAGATAACTCGGTGGACTTGGTGAGTTTTGGTAGTCAGTAGTCGGTAGTACAGTCAGTAACGTAGTTGGATCTGGAACATTTACCGTCTTTAGTGAGTGGAGCAGTTCACTTGGTGAGTGGACACCGTTTCTTTGTGAGGGAAAGCACGCTAGCGGCCTAATGGAGTTAGCATCATGCTATCGCTAAATCGCGAGTGGGGTTTTCCCTGTTTAAAATCAACGAACTATTTTATTACCGTTAAATAGTTTTAATTAAGAGATCCCTAGAGCGCGCACACACACACACACACACACACACAACAGCAGCTCCTTGCTACAGACAGAAGTTTACTCAACAGCATTCAGCATGAAAATGAACCAAGTAGCAAGTATTCATCGTCGTCTTCCTCCGCTTATCCGGGTCCGGGTCGCGGGGGCAGCATCCCAACTAGGGAGCTCAAGGCCGTCCTCACCCCGGCCTTGTCCACCATCTCCTCCGGCAGGACCCCAAGGCGTTCCCGGACCAGATTGGAGATGTAACCTCTCCAACGTGTCCTTGGTCGACCCGGGGGCCTTCTGCCGGCAGGACATGCCCGAAACACCTCCCCGCGGGGAGGCGTCCAGGAGGCATCCTGACCAGATGCCCAAACCACCTCAACTGGCTCCTTTCGATCCGGAGGAGTAGCAAGTATTAAATAGACAAAACAGGCTAAAAAGAAATGCCAGCTGATGTTTCAGAGCATTCCTTAAGCAGATGTTTTTCAGGGATGCATATTTACATGCAGGGCCGTTGCTAGCTATTTTGGTGCCCTAAGCACAAAGGCATCGTGGTGCAGTATGTTCAAGCTCCGCCTTAAATTCTCTTTAATTTACTTGTATGCACAAACTGCTTATTATTTCCAAAAAGTAGGATTGATATTTACAAAATATAACATACACAACACAGGAACTCCACATTGTTATTATTTAGAACTATGTAACAGGTCCACACACCACAAGCACCGGTTGTGGCACATGTGTTTCTCCAGTGTTATTTTCAGATGCTTTTTCAGACCCAGGACTCACTCTGCCTTCAGAAGTGCTGGCTGTGGGCTGTGCTCGGTCTGTAGGTGTGCTTTACTTTGTTATTCCTGGTCAGGGCTGGGTGATGTTGTAGAAGGTTCAGACGTGATGGCTGACAACTGATCTTGAGCTCTTGAACTGCTGGTGGAGGGCTGATCTGAACTTTTGGCGTGAGCTCCTCCTTGAATGTACTTGTTCATTGAGCCTGCATTCAGACCAAAGATAATTTGTCATATTCATTCTATAATAAGATTAAAGTTTTAAACCATGGTAAAAATACTGCAATAGATTATTTATAGGTTAATATTGGCTTATAAATCACTGGCATGTGACATGACTAAACTCAAAACTATTTAACCTTTATTAAGAACTAGAGAGGCACAATATACACATTTTATACACAACTAGAACATTCTGAATAAGAAGGGAGGAGGTTAGCATAACGGACTTTTTTCTTCAAATTATACCATCAGCAGCTGATGTTCCTCTTGGCCCGTAAATGTTTATGAAATATATGTCAACAAAGAGCAAATACCTCATTTGAAAATAGGTTTTGTCAAACTTTTCATATTAAATCTCAGTTACATAGCCTATAGGCCACATAGGATATTTAATAATGATATAAATCATGTCCATAATTAACTCATGATTAATCACAAACAGCTGCTTATTTCAAAATAAAACTTCTTACTTTACCTTGACGGTGTTTTTGTCCTTCCTGTTGTTGTGATATTTAAGTATTTGGGTGGACAAATATGATTCATTTGTTTATTTCTGTTTCAAAACAGCACAGATGGGTCTATCTGACCTCACAGGGGAAACTTTATTTTACTTGAGAAAGATGTTTTAAGATGAACTTATTAAAACAAAATAATCTTCAAACTCTTCCAGGTGTATTTTTAGATGAACAACCTTTAACACTGTTCAGACTTATTTGTTGATACAAGTCGCATGAACAGACTGATTTCCCTTTGTTGCATTTAACTATTTCTTCTTCTTTAAAGAAGTGCTGATTCAGAAGAGAATAACTGCATTTAGGAAGATGATGACTTGCTACGTTTTTTTCTCCAGCAGTAAAAAAGCTCTAAAGCTTCTCTTGAGTTTCTCTCCCTCTCAGCCTCTCTCACTCAGCTACTAATGAACGCCCGGTAGGCGGACGGGAGGCTGCGGGACAGAGTGGCGCATTATACTTTTAACAGACTGGAGAAGCAGAGAACGAAATCTGCCCAAACCACGCAGATAGAGTCAAAATGTTAAATGTACGGAAGCAGAGTGCAAAAAACACCAAATAAAAGTCCTGAAAAGCAGCATGCTTACGCTTACCAAACTCGGTAAAATTTGACCAAAAACAGATTAATTAACAGCAGTAAAAAGTCCGAATTTAAGCTAGGTCAAACGACCCTCTGAACTTCACCACACCCGTGTTTAAAATTAGAAAAAGATAAAAAAAAATTAAGAATTTCCATTAAAATACTTGTCTTATCTGCAATCGAACCAACAGCATCATCCCGCTGTTTTTTCATTTGTCTCTTTACTGCCCCAGACTCCTGCAGCCTTTTCGGAGCCATGACTGTGCCCGCTGCATCCTCCACAGGTGTCTGCGGGGGTGGGGGGTTGGTGTGACACGGTCCATCTCCTTTTTGTATTGTTTTCTCTCTGTAAACATGCTGTTAACTTGCTTTGCACATCTTCTAATTGAAATCTGTCTTTATCATATACATATTATTTTTTCACAAGCTTGCATTTAGTGCCCCTCCCCTGGCGTGGTGCCCTACAGGCTGTGCGTGGTGTGTGTGTGCGGAGCGCCGGCGCTGTTTACATGTAAATAAAAATAAATACAACTTTAGAAAGACACATTCTACTGAGTAAATGTATAATATAATGACTTAGTAATCAATAATAATACTGAAAACACAATAGCATTCTGCTAAAACACACCTAAAGTTCATTTAGCTGGGATTCCTGTGTTTTCATGTACATTACACGTCCGTGGAGCTGCCTCTTGGCCAGGACTCCCTTGAAAGTAAGGTTTGTGATCTCAATGGGACCTTCCTGGTTAAATAAAGAATAAATAAATAAATAAACTCACTACTTCTTCATGTAAACTCTAAACGAAACCCTTTAGTGCTCTTGGCTCAGCTGGAGACGAGGAACCCTCAGGTTGTGTTGTTCTTTACCTTTTCAGCTTCCAGCCCTCTGCTGATATCACACCTTGCTTTCCTTGTTGGCTCCATGAGATGCTGCCATGCTGGATTTGACTTTTAGTGAGCCACCAGACAGAACTAAACAGGAGAAACCGTTGTTAGTATTTTTGTAGAGCATCCATCTTCAATTTAGTCTGTAGCTGGAAGAACAGAAGAGAATTCTGGTGAGCAAAGGTCCTCTTTTCCAGACTGGATCTGTCCTCAGCTGATCAGAACCAAAGCGTTGGATCTTTAATCTCCTGCGTTGTTCTGAAGCAGCATCTTAATCAGCTCTCCTGCTTTGTTTCTATTGCAGCTGTTAGCTAAACACGGCTAAAGAAAACCTGCTACCACTTCAGGATCATCCATCAGCTGGGACTGATTCATCGTGTGTTCTTCACCACCTGGACCTGGACAGCATGGACACAGGTAGGGCTGCCACCTTTCAGATATGTAAATAAGTAAATGAGTTGGAGAAGTGGTTTTTCTCTTAGACACCTGTGTTATTCACACAGGTGTGTTATTCCTGTTGACTTCAATAAGTAGGCTATTTTTCTCCAATAAGGCCATGAATATACTTAAGAATGCCTCATAGGCTTTATTGACATCCTTATGTTTATATACAATAGTCCAATCTTGTTTTATTAACTCATTTTTGAGACACTGCATTGCCTTTTCTGTTCTAATTGTTTTATATATCATCTTACATACATTTCTATGAACTTTATAGCAACAGTCATAAGTTACAAAAACTGGTAAGTGGTCACTTATATCATTTATCAATATCCCGGCTTTTATATTTTCTTCCATTACATTTGTAAAAATATTATCTAATAGAGTTGCACCATGAGTGGTTATTCTCGTCGGTCTTGTTATCAGGGGAAATAATCCCATACAATACATTGACTCAATAAATTCTTCAGTACTCTTATTATGATTTGGGTTCAATAAATCAATATTAAAGTCTCCACAAATAAACATTCTTTTCTGATTCAGATTTGTGTACAAGTCCTCCATAATGTCCTTTAAAGTCTCAATCTTTGATCCTGGTGTTCTATATATGCAACTAACAATGATGTTTTTCTGTTTGTTCATGTTTATTTCCACTGTTATACATTCCATCACTCAATCTACCACCCTCGTCATTCTACTCATTTTTTCAAACCTTAAATTTTTATCAACATAGAGTGCCACCCCACCTCCTTTTTAATTTGTCCTATCTAGCCCTTTGATGCATAATGGTCACTACAGTGGACAGGTATTCAAAATTGTTATTTATTTGTTTTTGCTCTTAAGCACAGCTGTTGAAGACTTTATTGTATTTGAACCCCTCCGTTTGGACTTCAGTAAGCCAAGCCAACATGTTTCATGCTCAGAATGCACGCTGCCCACTGAAGTGGACATGTAATAAATTATTTGTAAATTATAAAATTTTACAAAAAATATTTGTTGCAATTTGTTTCATTCACACCTAAAGACGAATGAAAAAAATTGTTAAAAAAATCATGGTTGAAGATTTCATAATTCATGCATCAAAGGGCTAGATGGAGGAGCTCATATCCCTCCATCTCAAAATCCTCTTCTTTTCCAGTGTTTATCCAAGTCTCTGATATTGCTATCACATCAAATGGTTGATTAAACTGTGCTATATATGCTTTAATAAATTGAAAGTTTGCATATAGACTTCTACTATTGAAATGAACCATAGTTATGTTCTTACCCCCTCTATGTTCATATTAAATTGTTCCATTGTATAATAATTACAGTCCTTTAACATTTTAGTAAAAAAATTACAGTCAGGATCTATATTGCTATCATACCCCAATGTCCCAGTTTCAGCATCCATTTGATTTGTTACTTGAAATCTGTCAGCCATCTGACTTTGTTATATATCTTATCCACACACCATCACCTCTACCAATACTTCGTCTAGGCCTAGTACCATCCTATTTGACAATTCATTAAAAGTACCATCAACCATCCCCATGCTTTGCCTTACATTTATCAGCCATATTTTTCCAGTTCCATCAGCTCTTTAATGACCAAGACCTTTGCCTGCTCCGGTGTTCCATTTAACTTAATGAACACCTTACAATCTGATGTCCAGGTTGACTGTATTTTCTTCTGTTTTCTTAATAATCTCGCTTGTCTTGCAATATCTGCATTTTTCTTGGTTAGATGTTCATTAACATACACATTCGTTTCAACTTTCTTCCTTGCTTCAGTAGCTCTTTTTTCTGCTTCCTATTCACAAATCTTATAATAATGGCAGGTTTTTGATTCTTGTTTTTCCTTGGAAGAGTTTGGCACCCCTCAATGTCCTTACTATCCATTTCAATACCTTTACTATTGAAAAATGCCATTACCTGCTCTTCAAGGGAGCGCAACTCTTGCTCAGGCGGCTCCCCTCTCTCTTCAGCTGCTGCTCGTGCATATGTCTGGTGCTTGGTTTCCAGACCCGTTACTATTACATCTGATATCCTCGAATATTGTTCCAATTCTGCCACTCGTACTTCCAACATAGTAATCTTCTTGTCCTTTTCCTCACTTTGCCTTCTTAATTCTTTAATATCCTCAGTTAAATTGATTATCAGTTTTTGTTGTTTTGCAATGGTTGTAATCTCTTCTGACATAAAGTTCAAAGATTTCTTTATGTCCTCTAGTTCTTCCTCATTGATATTACCTCTTTTAGGTGGCATCTTCTAAATACTTGAATACTTGTGCCCCTTCTTTTCTTTTTTTTACTGCAGCCTCAATCAATTCTGAGGCTTTGCCAGCTCCGGGCCCATCTTGTCTCTCGACGGGGAAGGCTGTTGTGGTTTAGTCTCCGCGACGCGATGAATGTTTGTTGGGCCTGGCTCAGCAGGATCCCTCCGTAGTCGGTGTTGCTAGGCCCCGTCGGCAGAACTATGCCGGGTTCGGCGCTGTTGGGCCAGGCCGATGGAGGCGCGCCGGGCTCGGTACCGTTGGGCTGGGCCGGCGTAACCACGCTGGGTACGGCGCTGCCTGGCCAGGCGGATGGATCCACGCCGGGCCCGGTGCCACTGGGTTGGGCCGATAGAACCACGTCAGGGTCGTTGCCGCTGGGCTGGGCCGGTGTTACCACGCCGGGTTCTGTGCCAAATCCTGTGTGCTTCCGTCGGTACCGGGATGGAGGTCCGGTGTAGCGTCAGCTCCTTCTTGTTGCTCAGTGATTACTCGCAGTGAACGAGGCAGAAAAACTTTGGACTGCTGCGTCTCTCCGTCCAGCTCCGCTCGTGGAGAATGAGCTGATCTGGAAGGACAGGGCTCCCATGAAAAAATAAATAAATTTTACATGAATAAGTGATGATTATCCTGGTTGGGAGAGGAAAATCTTGCCTAATAAGCACTGGAGGAAACCCTGTCAAGATCGTCAACACTTGTTTATCTTAATGCTATTGAAACATGTAAACCAAAAAGCATTATATCCACTGCTACCTTTCTAATTTTAAACTCAGTAACTTATGCTGTAACTGCACCTTGCTCTGCCTGCTCCTTTCTTCTTGCTGCCTGCCGGCTTTGACGACATAGTAGTTCCCGCTGCTTCTTCGGGAAACAGCGCAAAAAAAACCAAAACAAATAAAACTTGGGATCTTGTAGGCGTGGCGGTAAGATTGCAGCCGTGGCGGCCTGCCACGGCTACGCCTATGTAAGGGAAACCCTGGTGTGCTGATGAGCAGCTTGTCCCTTTCAGAGGCAGGTGCAAGTTACGCCAACATATGCCAAGTAAACCAGCAAAGTACGGATTGAAACTCTGGGTCACTGCTGATGTTGCCACTTCCTATGCCTGCAAGTGTCAGGTTAACACAGGGAAAGCTGCTGGTGAGGCTGCAGAGGTCGGCCAGGGAAAACGTGTCATTTTGGAGATGACCGAAGAGCTCCAAGGAGTCACTTCACATGCATGCATTCACACTTCTGCCCTTTCATAACAAACTGAACTACAAAGAGTTTGGATGTGCCTGAGCTCCAGCCAGATGCATAAACATATTGTTTTTGTTTTCTACCCTTTGATGTTCAGTAGGAGAGTGAAACTGTGTTTTGTTTACATGCTGAGCTTCTGACTTCAATAAAAACAGCAGAAGATCTATAGAAATGTGTAAACTTTCTCGCCTGGGCAGCATATGAAGAAATGACTGAATTTGGTGGTGAACAGTAAAAATCATAAATTTGACTACTTTTGTCCAAAATGAAACCATTACATCACAGAAAGCATGAATATTTGCTGCAGATAATGCAGGATCAAAAACTGTGGTTTGCATTGAAGTCAATGGGACGTTTTTGTCCATAACAGGCACAAGAGGGTGGTAAATTTTAAATCTGCTGCTACACAAAAACTAAAAAAGCATAAAATGTGATATTTTGCTAGACTCTTGACATATCCAAGGCTAATTCCATGCTGTCGTTCTTTTTAAAACACAGAAATGGTTTCGTTACTTGTTTTTTTTAGAAAATAACTCGGTGCTGTTTTTTTCTGTTTTTTTTTCTTCATAATTTACATCAATGACTTTTGAGTATTCAAACTGGCATTTCAGGGGTTAAAAGCCTCAAAATGATTGAATTTTTTTTATGTTTGAGCAGGGCTGAAGTTGTTCAACAGATCTATGAAAAAAAGTAAAAAAAAAACATGAATGTATACATTTTTTATAGCCACTTTTACAAGCGGACGTTTTTGTCCTCTGACTCTTGTATGAAAATTAAAGTGAAGCCTGAGGGTTAAGGCTCATATGATTTATAGAGGCTCAAAGTTAATTTTCCAATTGTAAATACATTTCATTCTACTGTCAGTTTAAAGAAATAATACAACTGTTATATGTGTGAAAACACAGTTACAGCTGTCTGTAATTCACATAATATGTTTCTGTGTTTCCTACAGATTTTCAACAGATGGTTCTGGTTAAAGAAGAAGCTTCAGAAGAACAGAGTACTTGTGTCAACCACCAGCACCTAGATTTTCTCCACAAAAAGGAGGAACAGGAGAAACTCTGGTCTAGTATGGAGGGAGAGCATCTCCATTTGAATAAGGAGACTGATGCTGCCAGGTTTCAATCCTTTAGCCAAAAAACACATTTAAACAAACACACGAGAGTCCAGACAAAGCAGAAACATTTTGCCTGTGAGCACTGTGGACAAAGGTTTCACCAAAAGACTAATTTAACCACACACATGAGAGTCCACACAGGACAGAAGCCCTTTCCTTGTGAGCTCTGTGGAACGAGATTTAGCCAAAAGACACATTTAAACAGTCACATGAGAGTCCACACAGGACTGAAGCCCTTTCCTTGTGAGCTCTGTGGAACGAGATTTAGCCGAAAGGCACATTTAAACAGTCACATGAGTGTCCACACAGGACTGAAGCCCTTTCCTTGTGAGCTCTGTGGAACGAGATTTAGCCGAAAGGCACATTTAAACAGTCACATGAGAGTCCACACTGGACAGAAGCCTTTTGCCTGTGAGCTCTGTGGTAATAGATTTAGTGAAAAGGGAAATTTAAACACACACATGAGAGTCCACACTGGACAGAAGCCTTTTGCCTGTGAGTTCTGTGGTAATAGATTTATTGAAAAGGGAAATTTAAACAAACACATGAGAGTCCACACTGGACAGAAGCCTTTTGCTTGTGAGCTCTGTGGACTAAGATTTAGCCGAAAGTCAACTTTAAACAGTCACATGAGAGTCCACAATGGAGAGAAGCCTTTCGCCTGTGAGTTCTGTGGTAATAGATTTAGTGAAAAGGGAAGTTTAAACAAACACATGAGAGTCCACACTGGACAGAAGCCTTTTGCTTGTGAGCTCTGTGGACAAAGATATAGCCAAAAGTCACATTTAAACAGACACATGAGAGTCCACACTGGACAGAAGCCTTTTGCTTGTGAGCTCTGTGGACAAAGATTTAGCCAAAAGTCACATTTAAACAAACACATGAGAGTCCACACTGGCTTTTCGCCTGTGAGTTCGGTGGAAAAGATTTACCCAAAAGATCAGTTTAAACAGTCACAAGAGTCCATAAAGGACAGAAGCCTTTTGCTTTTGAGCTCTGTGGACGAAGATTTAGCTGAAAGAAAACTTTAAACAATCATCTAAGCATCCACCAGGGCTGAACGATCTATTGAAAGCGTCTCCAACAGTTTTTGGCCCGTGAGCTACTTTTACACAATGAAAGCACAGCAGAGTTACTGCCATATGGTTTATTTACATTGATACTTTCCATGTGTGAATGTGCTTATGTTAAAAATGCTATACTTACTATATTAACATGCATTGTACTCACAAGTTGATTTTTCTGTATTTCAGTACATCAGTATATATATTTTAAAAGTATAAGTAAACCAGTGACATTCTGAAAACCAAATTAAACAAAACATATTTAGTTTTTTAAACTAATCGGATACTTTCAGATAATGAATAACAAATCTACTTCATGTGAATGATTTGGTAATTTTTTTAGAAGTTAGTAACATAACTTTTTAAGCGCACAGGAACAGCTAACCTGTAAAACTGATGATATTTGAAATAAAATACAAGCTAAATGTGATGAAAACACAAAAGTCTAAATGGTTTGAATTGAAGTAAAAAATGTAAAATCAGAAATAAGACTTGTTCCTGCTCTCCTGATGTACTGAATAATTTTTATGGGTTTTTTTGGTCATGAAAGTTAAGTTTTGCTGTGTTTATTGCTGACAATATGAAGGTTGGAGGTTTATCCTTTTTTCTGCATCTTGTAGGTTTTTTTTCTCTGCACGTCTCTAAATAAAGTAAAATTTTCTAGTGCAGAGTGGAGACAACCTATAGAAGCACTGATTTGATCTCATTTCAGAGAAAAATAGAACAGGTTAGATGCACCTAATAAATAAAATTATAACAAACTCAGGAATCTGTTTCTTTGCTTCACTGTTCTGGTGCTGAGAATATCACTAATGCGGATCAAAGGAGATACACAGATGAATGCACCTCTTATTTATTATTTGGAGACTACATTTACTGCAGCTGGCAGAGGCAGAGATTTTTTCTATTGATACACGGAATTTACAGAATCATTTTAAATGTTAATAGGGGAAGACTGCAGGAGGGAGCGGTAAAATACAGGGGGTCCCCAGCAAAAACAAGAAACTTTTTGAGTCTGATGAAACCCGCTGGTTTTCCATCAGGCAGTCACGGGGCAGCTCCAACGACCCAGTGGCTGTGCTGGGTCAATGTTATCCAGCTCAGTCCGGCTCGGCCGTGAACGAGCTGAGGCGACGTCGTGCTCTGCTTGAAGACGTGTTATTTTCCCGCTTCAGAAGAAGCGTTCAACGTGTTTTTACGCTTTCTCCGAGACATGTCACGTCGCTAAGTTGTTAGCGCTGCGCACTAACATGTCAATAGTGCAGCGTAGCCTGCTGGAGGTTTTAAGGGTTCAGATGAAAACACCCGACCTCTCAGGCTGCTCACACATCGATCTTAAGTTGTCGCTGTTGCGCTCACATCGTAATACAGTATTAGATCAGGGTGTCCGCGGGGTTTTAAAAAGTATTAAAAAGTGATAAATAAAAATAGTCAAATTTAAGGCCATTAAAAGTGTTAAATTTGGTCTCAGAGGTATTATTTTTTCCAAGTTAGGTATTATTTTTTTCAGACTATCAGGTGTCGTATTATGAATATCAACATAGAAATATATTCCAAATGAAATGTTTTGAACGATTATAAAAACAAAACAGATTATTTGCTCCTCCCGCTTGCGCTGCCCTGTGTTGCAAATGAAGCGCTCCTCCCACAGTGTTGCCAACTTAGCGACTTTGACGTTATTTCCAACAGCTTTTCAGACCCCCTTCTTGACTTTTGAAATGTTAAAAGTACCTAGCGAACACCTCAGAAACATCTCTGGTAACCCTTAGCTACTTTCTGGATAACTGTCGTCGACATTTCCTGCAGGTTAGCTAAACACTCCGCCTGCGCTCCGGACCGTTCTTCAGGACATTTACGAAAGGGAGTGATGTGTCGGTCGCTACAGAAACAGCTCTCAGAGCCAGCTCTCTGTTGGATTAACCAGAGTGAGTGACACACACACCGTACCTGCGGGCTCCTGAGCCGCTAAAAACGGCTAAATGTGCACGTGCGGCGCGCTAAACACGTGCAGCTTGCCCCTGATTGCTGTGAGACCGGGTTGGGGGGTGGGGGGTGCAGCTGTGGTTGAGACAATTATTACATTAACTGATGGACTTGTAAATAATAGTTTATAAATATGGTAGAAATAAGTTCCTCACGCTGATAACTAATCTCTCTGAGGACACGGTGCTAGTGCACGCTCCTACAGCACCTTGACACGACTCAATAAATGTTATGCAACATTTTGTGAACATCAATTTATTTGCATTTATTTGTTATAAATGCCACTGTATAATTCATGTTGTCAGTATTTGCAAGATATTGGTATTTGGGTCTGTAATGGTTAGACTTAAATGAGTTAAACCAAGGTCTATAGCCCTTGGGTCATAAACTATGAGCTATAAGTATATTGGTCTTTTTATACTGGGAATCAGGAGTTATTTTAGTGATCATCTTGTTTCTTGTTTATTTTTGCCCTGATTGTGCCCTGAGTAGGGCTGGGGGTAAACGATTATTTTTAAAACAATTATTCTGATGATTATTTTATCGAATAGTCGACTATTCTAATGACTATTTAGATGATTAATCTAGCGATTATTTTTCTATTGCACAATTAATAAAAACCAAAAAATCTCAAATAAATTCTTCCAAAAATTGATACATTGTTACTGTAAGAGAATAAACACTACAGGCCTTCCATTCTGTATAACACTGCTTTTATTGTGTTGTGGTTGGTTATGTTCTGGTGACTGTAGAGGTTGGGAGTGCAGGCTGCTGCCTGAGAGGTGGTTGGAGACGGAGTGTCTCCATGCTGCTTTGATTTGGTCACTTATGTACGTGAGGCGAGTGGTGTTACGATCCTTCCTGGGGAGTTTGGCTTGTGTGCAAAAAGGAAGGGACAATAACGGGATTTAAAAGTTAAAATGATGATCAGGTTTATTCACAACTACAAAAAAACATAAATATTTCCATCCACAGGTTGGGAATAATAAAACTAATTCTGCCTGTGGGGAATTAAAACAAAGTACAAATAACCTGGGATGTCCCACTGGGCAACGATTACATGGTTCTGGACCAAAATAAGGATCTCCAAAGGTCCAAACTCTAAACTGGGTGGTTAAACCAAACTTAAGGTGATATTTTACACTAAATCGAAAACCCACAACACTCTAAATGTAATAAAAGGGAGATCTACACCACAAAAAAGATGAACTCTAAACCAAAACGTAACCGCTTATCCAAACGCAAGAAGCTGTTAGCGAAAATGCTAACAGTAGCTTTACCAACATTAAATTCAAGTTACCATGTTTAAATAAACCAAAAACACCCAGCAGCAAACAGACCAGCATGGAGGAGAGACTGCTACCACCAAAACAGCTCTCCTAATGTCTGAAAGAAGCTCCTTTATGAAGGGAGAAACGCTCCCGGTGATTTTCTACATCTGCGGTAGAGACAAAGCAGCGCATCTGACCCCGGAAGTTGTTGTCCGTTGCCGGGAGACGAAGGTGGGCAAAACGGGAAAGGAATCTAGCAGCAGACGGACATTGTTCCGGGTCTTCGGTATTTGGCGGAGATGTTAGTGAAGGCGGAGAAGAGGGCGAACTAGAGGAAAAACAGGCAGATTCCTCCTCTATTTACAAACTCCTGGGGATGCAACAAGTGGGCGCGGTGTGTTGACTACCGGATCTGACGTCGACGAATTTTTAGAATCGAGCCGTCGACGTCATCGATGCATCGCCACAGCTCTAGTCCTGAGCAATTTTATGACTGAATAAAAAAAATAAAATAAAAAATCTACATGAATTGAAAAATCGTCTTAAATAATCGAGATCTCAATTTCAGTCACAATAATCGTGATTATTGTTTTTGCCTTAATCGAGCAGCCCTACTTTAGCATATCCGGTCACATAATGATGACGTCATATTCAGTGGTCGTTCTGCATCATTTCAGGCCTCGTGGTCAACTGTCTGAACCGCTGAACAGAAGTGCCTGGCTTATTTTCTAAGTAAAATAAATATGTGCAATACGTTGTCAACATCAGTGAGTCTCTAAGTCTATTCTTTTTGTATGTTATATATGTTAAAATATGTGTAAATAGGTCGCTGATTAACACTTGCAATTTAGTGTTGTGATGGTTTTAAAAAAATTCTGAAGGTAGTAAAAAAGGTATTAAAAAGTAGTAAATTTTACTTAAGGATTGCTGTATATACCCTGTAGATGCGGTTAAAGTCAGACATGAAAAAGTCAAATAAATTTTACATGAATAAGTGATGCTTATCCTGGTGGGGAGAGGAAACCCTGTCAAGATCGTCAACGCTCATTTATCTTAATGCTATTGAAACATGTAAACCAAAAAGCATTATATCCACTGCTACCTTTATGCTGTAACTTCACCCTGCCCTGCCTGCTCCTCCTTGCTGCCTGCCGGCTGTGATCACAAGCAACAACATAGTAGTTCCCGCTGCTTCCTCGGGAAACCGCTAAAAAAAAAAATCAAAACTTGGGATCTTGTAGGCGTGGCGGTGGGATTTCAGCCGTGGCGGGCCGCCACGGCTACGCCTATGTAAGGGAAACCCTGCTGTAGTTACTGTGTAAAGCAGTATATACTAGGAATGATTGATAAAAATAAAAACTAGAATTGAACCTGAGTTACATAGTAATAACAATTTAAGAACTCAGAAACAATTCACTAAATTACTAATTACCGTGTAAGTACTAAGTAATTAGAGGACTGTAAAAGAAAGCGCTACCAATAATTGTACTTAATATGCTTTTATTTTTTGTGCTATGTTCTGTGTCAATATTCTTTGATTTGATTTTTTTTTTTTTTTACCGTGTCCTGTCTGGCTGTGAAGCAAGCAGAATTGATGTCTGAATGCTGGTGACAAGCCTTACAGATTTATTCTCAGGTGGAGCATCAAAGCGTCTGCTTTTAATGTCACGCCTGATACTTAAAACGTTATTTTTATTGTTGTTGAATGCTTGGTAAGTCCGACCAGACACGGAGACAGGTGAAAGAGAAAGGAAAAGAAAAGGGGGGGTTCCACAAAAATAAACAATGAACAAGAGTCTGCTTCTAGACCTGCAGAAAAAGACAAAAAAAAGCAAAAGGACAAAAAAAGGGACACAACAACAATACAACAAGATCTAGCTATCACTGCGTCAACTTGATGAAGAAATATAAAATCAACATTGCTTAACTGAAGAATCACGATAATAAATCACAACGCATTAAGTGCCCACCATAGTCTTAAGACCTGTGTTTAACGTGCCCAAGCCCATACTTTTGAGAGCACCAAGTGAGCACCTGTGTGTGTACACGCGCTTGTTTATTTAAGGTTTCTCTATAGGAGCGTCCAACAGAGAGTGTGAGGGACCACAGATCTGCCACTCAAAGATGCACAGGAGACGGGGGGAGCTCCAAGTCCCAGAGATCCAGGCGCTGCCCCAGAACACAGGAACCCCAAAGAGACTGCAAATTTATTTTATTTAATTCTTTCTCAACCTTGTCCATTAATGTTATTAAATCTTTCCCAAAACTTAGAACATTAGTATCATCTGCAAATAGCATGAAATGCAATGTTTTAGAAACTAAACATATGTCATTAATATAAAGAATAAACAAGTATTAAGTACATAGAGGACTGTAAAAGAAAGCACTACCAATAATTGTACTTAATATGCTTTTATGTTTGTGTGCTATGTTCTGTGTCAATATTCTTTGATTTTATTTTACACAACATGATGTGACATTTTATCTATTTCATTTCACTTGTGATTGTTT